ACACACACACACACACACACACACACACACACACTCACACACACACAAGGGCTAACACACACACACACACACACACACACACACACACACAAAACTGATTGCAATTCGGTCGCCTTCTCTTCTCCGACGTGAGAGGTGCTCGCTAAACAAACATGCCCTGTGACTACCGACAAACAATATTGTGTCGCTAATCGTGCCCGGCTCTGTTCCGATTTGGGGGGGTTTTTGGCAATCTGGGGAAGAAAAAAAATTAATATTCTCGAGTGATGTTTGAGTACCTTGGAAACAATTGCCTGGATTATATTTCGAGCTCATATGGGGAGGGGGGGGGCGAGGGCGCTAAGTGGACTTGCCGAGCTATCGTTCGATGGATGGATGTGTGGGCAGATGGATGGATAATTGGTGGATGGATGGACGGATAGATGGATGGATGGCCGGATAGAGGGATGGACGAATGGATGAGCATATGGACTAAGGGATGAGTTGATGGTGGATGGATGGATAGATGGATGGATTTTATAGATCAGTGTTGATGGTTACATATGAGACAGGTGGTGCATTGGCAGGAGGAGATGAAGGATAAAGATGACTGGTGACGACGACAACGACGACGACGACAATGAAGAAGATGATGATGATGATGATGATGATGATGATGATGATGATGATGATGATGATGATGATGATGATGATGATGATGATGATGATATGTTGTGAATATGATGATATATTGTGAATGTTCCTGATGAAGCCCGTTGAGGGCGAAACGTTGAACTTGTGATAAAATTTTGGAAATACCACCACATCTTAACTGTTTTAATATCTGTTTTATACAATGATGATGATGATTTTTATACTCTTCTACAAAGAAGAAGAAGACGAAGAAGAAGAAGAAGAAGAAGAAGAAGAAGAAGAAGAAGAAGAAGAAGAAGACCGTTTCTTTTTTTCCTCGTTTAAAAACAACCGACTTCATAATAATATCCCACTTAAGAGCAAGCCACTGGTCCGGGAAACACTCTCGCTCCGTAACAGAGCCCGGCCATTCTCACACTATCGATCTGAGGAAATCAAATCAGTGTTGGGAGGTCAGTGATTTCTGCTACACACCCTGATGAAGGAGCCGGCAACGTTTGCACTTGTGGTGGGCAAAATCCGAATAACCGGATAATTCTCAGTGAAACATTATCCGAATTCATAACACATTAATTTAATCGCCGAAGAGGTTAACTAATATATTATCCGGATATTCCTAAAGCGACTCAGTGCCCAGCCCTAGTTTGCACTTGAACTGCCAAGCGATGTTAGAGTGGAGTGCCGTGTAATTCTTTCCTGCTCTTTTTTCGAAAAGAGTGGCTGTCTGGTATATTATTTTGTTTAATTGCGTCTTTCTTTGCGCTATTTTGTTGAACGTATCAAGATCTGTGTGGCCCTTTGAGGCGGTGCAGCTACTTGAAGCCATAGATTTGTGAATGAGTGGTTGGTGGGTGCTCGGGCGTGGTTTGTTCCTTATTTCTTATCAAACATTTATCGTCATAATATCTATCCCCTGATTCATTTTTCAAAATGTTTATTACTCTCTCGTAATTCCTCGAATCTTTTGCACTTATAACTTTATTGTGTTGCAAGTGCTGTAAAATACTTACTAAAATAATGAAGCCGCTGATTTGTTCTATCAATTTGCGGATAGTTCTTCAATTGTGACGTTAAATGGGTTGTGTTGCCTCACTACTGAACGCTCCCAGGAGGAGTTGTGCTTAGAAATGCACCGTGCAAACATTACGATTATGTGTCCGAGTAACATGAAAGTCCCGAAGCGAAAGCTAAAAAAATCACGACAAACATATTTACTCATGCCCAAAAAAGTGTGGTTAAATTTCGTACAAACAGAGTTGTCATAAGAAGAAAAGTTTACAGTATTCTCTTTGAAACGACTGGCTTTCATTACATTATACTAATCGTCTACAAGACGTGTACACATCCACCCACAAACCTACGCACACACACAAACTCCCGCACACACACACACACACACACACACACACACACACACACACACACACACACACACACACATACACACGGCTGCCATCATTCTTAATAGTACGGCATTTTTATTCATTTACAGAAGTGTTGAGAAACTCAGTACTGCTACCTCGAAAACGGCAGCAGTCTGGGCAAACCAGCGAAGAGGTTAAGGACAACCAGGAAGTCATTATCAGAATTGTACAAAAACGCCCATGAATTTGTCATTCTTATGATAAAGGGATAGAAAAAAAAAACGTGTCTTGATGCAGTCCATCACCTGAGTACAAAAAGGGTATAAATTGACCCAGACATGCATAATAATTGTTGCAAGTCACGGTCCAATCAGGCGCTCGTCAAATTTGGGGCGTATCGAGGTGGTTTTTTTGTTTTTGTTTT